TCTGTGAAGCGGTCACCCAGTCTACGCTTCATAGAACATAGAACATAGAACATTACAGCGCAGTACAGGCCCTTCGGCCCTCGATGTTGCGCCGACCTGTGAAACCAATCTGAAGCCCATCTAACCTAAACTATTCCATTATCATCCATATGTTTATCCAATGACCATTTAAATGCCCTTAAAGTGGGCGAGTCTACTACTGTTGCAGGCAGGGCATTCCACGCCCTTACTACTCTCTGATTAAAGAACGTACCTCTGACATCTGTCCTATATCTATCACCCCTCAATTTAAAGATATGTCCCCTCGTGCTAGCCGTCACCATCCAAGGAAAAAGGCTCCCACTGTCCACCCTATCTAATCCTCTGATCATCTTGTATGTCTCTATCAAGTCACCTCTTAACCTTCTTCTCTCTAACGAAAACAGCCTCAAGACCCTCAGCCTTTCCTCATAAGACCTTCCCTCCATACCAGGCAACATCCTGGTAAATCTCCTCTGCACCCTTTCCAATGTTTCCACATTCTTCCTATAATGCGGTGACCAGAACTGTACGCAATACTCCAAGTGCGGCTGCACCAGAGTTTTGTACAGCTGCAACATGACCTCATGGCTCCGAAACTCAATCCCTCTACCGATAAAACCTAACGCACTGTACGCCTTCTTAACAACGCTATCAACCTGGGTGGCAACTTTCAGTGATCTATGCACATGGACGCCGAGATCTTTCTGCTCATCCACACTACCAAGAATCTTACCATTAGCCCAGTACTCTGTATTCCAGTTATTCCTTCCAAAGTGAATCACCTCACACTTTTCCGCATTAAACTCCATTTGCCACCTCTCAGCCCAGCTCTGCAACTTATCTATGTCCCTCTGTAACCTGCAACATCCTTCCGCACTATCCGCAACTCCACCGACTTTGGTGTCATCCGCAAATTTACTAACCCATTCTTCTACGCCCTCATCCAGGTCATTTATAAAAATGACAAACAGCAGTGGCCCCAAAACAGATCCTTGAGGTACACCACTAGTAACTGAACTCCAGGATGAACATTTCCCATCAACCACCACCCTCTGTCTTCTTACAGCTAGCCAATTTCTGATCCAAACCGCTAAATCACCCTCAATCCCATGCCTCTGTATTTTCTGCAATAGCCTACCATGGGGAACCTTATCAAACGCTTTACTGAAATCCAAATACACCACATCAACCGCTTTACCCTCATCCACCTGTTTGGTCACCTTCTCGAAGAACTCAATAAGGTTTGTGAGGCACGACCTACCCTTCACAAAACCGTGTTGACTATCCCTAATCAAATTATTCCTTTCTAGATGATTATAAATCCTATCTCTTATAATCCTTTCCAACACTTTACCCACAACCGAAGTAAGGCTCACTGGTCTATAATTACCAGGGTTGTCTCTACTCCCCTTCTTGAACAAGGGGACAACATTTGCTAGTCTCCAGTCTTCTGGCACTATTGGGGGCTTCGTTTCTCCAATGTAGAGGAGACCACATTGGTGAGCAGCGAATGCTATAGACTAGATTCTGGGAAGTCACAGGTGAAGAAACGATGACAAACTGGGTCTTCGAGCAGTGGTGAGAAAGCTGAACAGTATTTCAAAAGAACATAACAGCAGCCCATTGAACGGACTGCAAACGGTAGATTGGTGAACTGTGACCCAGCCAGAATTATACCATTAGGTAGGCCAAGGATAGGAGGGTTGAGAAATGCTCTCAGTGAGGTTCCCAAGCAGAGATGGCTGTATTTATTAACCCACTTTGTCACTGAGGTTACCCCACCATCATTAGAACTCCGTAAATTTTTAGTTTATGTAAAATTTAAAACAGCATCCTTCGTATCATTCCAAATAAATCACCTCTGTGTCCTTAAGATGTAACCAACACATTAACGTGCACCTAAAATTCCAAAGGGTGGGACAGCCAATGAAGAAAAGCAGTCGACAAAAGGAAGGATATTACTAAACAGGACAGGGTGCAGAAAAATTTTACAAGGATGTTGTTGGAACCAGAGGGTTTGAGTTAAGGGGAAGCTGGGCCTATGTTCCCCGGAGCGTCAGAGGCTGAGGGGTGACCTTATAGAGGTTTATAAAATCTTGAGGGGCATTGATAAGGTGAATAGCCAAGGTCTTTTCCCCAGGGTAAGGGGAGTCCAAAACTAGAGGGGCATAGGTTCAAGGTGAGAGGGGAAAGATTTAAAAGGGACCTGAGGGGCAACATTTTCATGTGCAGCGTGGGTTGTTTATGGAATGAGCTGTCAAAGGAAATGGCAGGTGCAGGTACAGTTACATTATTTGGATGGGTACATGAACAGGAAGGGTTTGGGGGGATATGGGCCAAATGCTGGCAAGTGGGAATAGTTCAGTTTGGAAACCTGGTCAGCATGGACAAGTTGGACTGAAGGGTCCGTTTCCACGCTGCATGACTGATTCTATGGCCGACTCGGCACAGAAGGCTCACAGCGATTGGGGAGGGTTTCGGGGGGGCGGTGGGGAGGGGGTCACAATCAGTTTCATTCCATTGCCCCAGCCACATTTCAAACAGGAATGAGTCTGTGGGTAAAGTTGGTTTGTTTTACTGAGGTTCAAACCAACGTGACAGTCTGTAAGGATCACACTCAGCGCAATCTCCGTGCCTGGTCCTCTCTCGGAAGAAGGCAGGGCCCTTTGCTGTATCCACCTTTATATGGAGATGTTCACCATTCCTTAGGAAACAGTGTGGGAAGTAGGCCATTCAGCCCGTCAGGTCTACTCCACCATTCAGTGAGATCATAGGGGCAAGGCAGCAAATGACAATCACCCTCCATTCCACTATAATAAATCGACCCCACAGCCAGGGGAGGGAAACAGCTAGGCTACACGCAGAACAAGTAAAAATAAACACGAACGAGACGACCCCTAGGTCCATCTCGGACACTGTCCGACTGGAGCACCTTGCCACGAGGAAACAGTTTTGCAAACGACGAGGAAAGAGCTTAGAGCAGGCAAATGGATCCTAAACCCTTGGGACGCAGAAGATTAAAAACAGCTGCCACGCCATATCATAAAAGGCCTCGCAAAAACAGCTATTGCCTGCTTCTGGAAACAGTTACTTACACAATGTCCCTCCGGCTCTCAGATTCCAGGATCGCGGGAGGGGCCATCCTTCAGGTGAGGCAGTAATTTCAGGGCACTCTCATCACCTGCCTGGGTAACTGTCCTCTGGCACGGTGTTGCCACAGGGCATCTTGTCTTCCCAGGGTAGGGGAATCCAGAACCAGAAGGCATAGGTTTAAGGTGAGACGGGAAAGATTTAAAAGGGACCGGAGGGGTAACTTTTTCATGCAGAGGCTGGTGCATGTATGGAATGAGCTGCCAGAGGAAGTGGGTGGAGGCTGGTACAGTTACAACATTTAAAAGGCACCTGGATGGGGATATGCATAGGAAGGGTTTAGAGGGATAGGGGCCAAATGCTGGCAAATGGGACTGGATTTATCTAGGGTATTGGTTTGGCATGGACGAGTTGGACTAAAGGGTCTGTTCCTCTGCTCTAATGTTTCCATGATAATGTTTCTGCATAGACCCTTGATGTGCATTATAACAATGTGGGGGGGTGGAAATGGAGGAGAATTATGATTCTGGGGGCACCCTGCCCCAAAACAAATTAGGAATTGTACATTGGAATTCAGCTACTGAAGTGTTTATTCAGAAATAAAAGGTTAGTAACAATCCCTAAACCAATCTAGCACATTTCTTCCCCACCTCCCACCAACCTTTTAAAAATAAAAACAACACAGGCAGAATTTACCAAGTCAACAACATCCTTTATACAATACATACAATACAGCAAAATAACTGTAACCTTTCCAAGGTGGACAAAAATTAACTGAATAAACCTCTCCCCCCTACCCCCTCAAGCCTCCCCACCCCCCCCCACCCCAATCCCCGCTTAACTCTGGGCTCAGCCAGTGAATAAAACTACAATCACTCCACTAACAATGGGATGAAGAGGGTGGGCTCTCTGAAGACCATGTCCGGGATTTCTCAGAAAAGTATTTGCCCCCACTGCACGCACAGGCCATGGGGGTTTTATTTTTTGTTTGGCGGGGGGGGGTGGCAATCAAACAACTTCCGAGAGTGTGGCGAAAGCTGCTGACTTCGGGAATGACCCTCGCCCTGAACTCTTGGGGCACACTGGGGGTAGTTCAGTGGCTGGCAGTGAGACCCGGGTGAACATAGGGGGCTTCCTCGGCAACGTCTGTCACGTTTACCCCCCACACCCCCACCACCACCCGTCAAAAACAGCGTCCCCTCCACCACCATGCCTAACCACCGAAAGCAAAACCAGCAACGCAAGGTGGTGGTGGGGACCACAAATGCGACCCGGGGAGGGGGCGGGAAGAGATCGCAGCCCCCCGCACCCGGCTTCCTGCACCGTGGCCCCCGAGCAAGAAGCCGAGAATGGTGGGCACATTCCCATCGCGCTGCCATCATTTGCAGTGGTTTCCCGGGCACGCCGGTTTGGGGAAGGGTTTGGGATGGGTAGGGTGCAAAACCAGTCTTCAGGAGGGTGTGCACTCAAAAAGAAACGAAAAGAAAAATAAACACAGCTGCTATGGTGGGGTGGGGGTTCCTACTGAAAAATGGAAAGGATGAGTCTGGTTGACTGACGCAGACACACACACACACACACACAAACACACGCTTTTTTAACAAAAAAAAACTTTTTTTTGCGTTAAGTATTTTCCCACTGAAAGAAATCCATTGGCACCAACTTCAGTTTGTGACTCGGTAAATGGGATGTTTGGGGGGCGGGGGGGGTGGTGGTGGTGGTGAGGAGTGAAGGGCGCACGTTCTGAGACAGGGGGAGGGAGGGAGGGCAGTTTCTGTTTTGTTATAAGTGGACACTATGTGCAGCCTTGCGGTGTTATCATCATCATCATCATCTCGCACTTGCCGACGCACTGTGGATGGGGGAAATCCGGTAGCGTGGCCGGCTCGATGGGGCTTCGTTTCTCTCTAACGGATAGTCTTGACGGGGCTCTTGAAGTTACTGGCGGCTTGGAGCTGGAGTTGGTAGGCCATGGGGTGGATCTTGAAACCGTACAGCCTGGTTAGAGGGAGGGAGTTCAACAAAGACAGA